CCCAAAAAAAAAGAAGAATATGAGGAACTTGTTTTTCTATCTTTTCTGTGATTAATCTATCTTTGAGTTACTTTTCTTGAAAATACCAATTTTTCCATTTAATTTAGCTTAATAAAGAACACTTGTTCGATTCTAAAAATAAAAGTTCAAGCCTGGCGCTGGTGGCTTACGCCTATAATCCTAGCTATGCAGGAGACAGAGATCTGAGGATCATGGTCCAAAGCCAGCCTGGGCAGGAAAGTTTGTGACACTGTTATCTCCAATAAACCATCAGAAAATGGGAAGTGGCACTGTGGCTCAAGTGGTAGAACGCTAGCCTTCAGCTGAAGCGCTGAGGGACAGTGCCCAGGCCCAGAGTTGAATCCCCTGACCGACAAAAAGAACAAATAAATAAAAATTCAATTATTATAGAAGTGGTACATGTATCTGACACCTAGCTCTGTAATGTATAGGTTTTCAGTGTCACCCTATGTGTTCTTTCTTTGTTTCTAACATAATGTTTATAATGGATCAGGAGAAAATAGGAGTGATGGAAGGTAGAATTATTGAACACAATTGCTTCATACTAATGAAAACACGGGGAAACTGGGTACTAGTGGCTGAAGCCTACAATCCTAATACTCAGGTGGCTTAAGATGTGAAGAACACAGTTCTAAGCCAACCCAGGCAGAAAAGACCATATGACTATTAGCTATGACTAACCACCAAAAAGTAGGGAGTAGGACTGTGGCTTAAATGGTAGAGCACTTGCCTTGAGTGAAGAAGCTAAGGGACAACACCAAGGGCTTAACTTCAAGTCCCAGTACCAGCACAAAAAAAGCAGGGAGACATGGGGCTGGGAAGGTGGCTCAGTGGTAGAGAGCTTGCCTTGCATGCCTGAGGCTCTGGGTTCGATTCCTCAGCACCACATAAGCAAAAAGAAAAAAGCTGAAAGTGGCGCTGTGGCTCAAGTGGTAGAGCACTAGCCTTGAGCTGAAGAGCTGAGGGACAGCGCCCAGGCCCAGAGTTCAGGCCCCACGACTGGACCCAAAAAAAAAAAAAAAAAAAAAGTAGGGAGACAAAATAAGGATTCTTTGTTGTCAGGAAGGTAGAACCTTCCTACTAGTGTTACTTGAGATGAGAAAATTGAGACTCACTGATAAAGAAACTTGATCAAGGTAACTATAATGTAGATTTGAATCCAGTATAGCCTAATACCTACAGTTTTGCTCATTTTTAACCACTTTCATTGCTATCACTATTTGGTCAATCCACCTGGATTCTTGCCTGGATTGCCCTGTTAACCTGATTGCTCAGCCTATTTCTACATTCAATTCAATTTCTACTCAGTTGTTACAGTGTTCTTTTCAGAATATAAAACACATCCAGCAGAGTTTTGTCTGTTTACAAATCTGATTTTCTCAACATATCTGGAAGAAACCGTAGAGTTTAAGAGCCATGCCTTAACTTAATTTGGCCCCTAGTCTTTTCTCAACCACTATCACTAGAATGGACTTTCCTTTTTTTGTGCTGGTCCTGGGACTTGAACTCTGGGCCAGGGCACTGTCCCTGAGCTTTTTGTGCTCAATGCTATCACTCTACCATGTGAGCCACTGCTCCACTTCGGGAGGTGCGCGCGCGCGCGTGCGTGCGTGCGTGTGTGTGTGTGTGTGTGTGTGCCTGTGTGTGCCTGTGTGTGCCTGTGTCTGTGTCTGTGTGTCTGTGTCTGTATCTGTTTAACTGGAGATAAGAGTCTCATGCCCATGCTACCTTTGAACCATGATCCTCAAATCTTAGCCTTCTGAGTAGCTAGAATGATAGGCATGAGCCACTGGTGCCTGGCTTGGAATGGATTTCCTGTCTCAGCCTTTGGCCTGTTTCTGTTCTCTAGAAAATGTCTAGTGTATTCTCATTTTTATACTTGAGTTCTTTCTTCAGATGCTATTCAGTTTTCTCCCTTAGATCTTAAGTCAAATTTACCTGTCACTTAAAGTACAATTTTATCATTTATTACTTTTGTTGAGATAAGAGTCTTAAGGGCGCCGGGCGCTGGTGGCTCACGCCTGTAATCCTAGCTACTCAGGAGGCTGAGATCTGAAGATCACAGTTCAAAGCCAGCCCGGGCAGGAGAGACGTGAGACTCCTATCTCCAATAAACCACCAGAAAACCAGAAGTGGCGCTGTGGCTCAAGTGGTAGAGCGCTCGCCTTGAGCTGAAGAGCTGAGGGACAGCGTCCAGGCCCAGAGTTCAAGCCCCACAGCCGACAAAAAAAAAAAAAAAAGAGTCTTAAGGGCTTAACTACCTGAACTAGCTTCGAATTGTGATCCTCAGATTTCAACTCCTGTGTAGCATGGATTACAGGCATGAGCCATCAGTGCCCATCTCTTAATACTTCTTGACATCATACTTTTATATTTTTATCTATCTCTATCAATAGATTATAACTTAAGGGCTAGGAAGGTGGCTCAGTGGTAGAGCACTCGTCTTGCATGCTCAAGGCCCTGGGTTCGATTCCTCAGTACCACATAAGCAAAAATAAAAAAGCTGGAAGTGGCACTGTGGCTCAAGTGGTAGAGCGCTAGCCTTGAGCTGAAGAGCTGAGGGACAGTGCTCAGGCCCAGAGTTCAGGCCCCATGACTGGACCCAAAAAAAAAAAAAAAAAAAGATTGTAACTTAATGCCTAGACCTTGCCTGGTTAGTCACTATATATTTTTTAGAATCTAGAAAAATGTTGTGCATAATGGGAGAAGGGAAGGGGTAACAATGCTCAACAAGAAATGTACTCATTGCCTTACTCGTGTAACTGTAACCCTGTACAGCATTTTTATGATAAAATAAATTTTTTTAAAAATAAGAAAAACATGGGGTACAAAGCCAAGGAATATGTGATTACTTGTCTAATAAATGACTTAGACAAGTTCTAAGTAGGTAAGGAGCCATTTGTTTGAATAGGCAACGCCTTATACAGTAGAACAACTTCAGACTATACCTAAGAGTAAGTGGGTATAGGTGGTAATGGGAGGGATTAAAAATATTTGAGGTTACTGTTGATAGAAGTATTTCTTCAGGGGCTGGGAAGGTGGCTCAGTGGTAGAGCGCTTGCCTTGCATCATGAGCTCTGGGGTTGATTCCTCAGCACCACATAAGCAAAAGGAAAAAAGCCGGAAGTGGCGCTGTGGCTCCAGTGGTAGAGCGCTAGCCTTGAGCTGAAGAGCTGAGGGACAGCGCCCAGGCCCAGAGTTCAGGCCCCATGACCGCCCCCCCCCCCCAAAAAAAAAGAAGTATTTCTTCAGTCATTAAGGGTGAGAGTGAGGGGACTAGCAGAGAAGAGGAGCAGAAATTACGTTCTCATAATGGTAACTAGATGTGATAGTTTACGCAGGAGGCTGAGGCGGGAGAGTTGTAAGTTGGAAATCAGCCTGGGCTATCAGAGAGACACGAAGAGACATAAAGAGAGGGAAAGAAAAAAATCACTAGTGCTGGTTAACAAGGGTGAATTTTAGTAATTTTGATTTTTGGTGTTATATATTCATTATAGATTGTTCAGAAAACATTTTTGGAAAAAGTAAAATATAGAATAGATTCTACATTGATAGCCATTGTTAGCATTTTTCTGATATAGTTGTATATTTTTACATCTAATACATATTTTAAAAAATTGACATTATTAGATTTCTGGTGATTAGAGATAAAAAGGAGACCAGACAATTGGAAAATTAGCCCTTATGATCTAGTTCTGAGACATGATCACATGGTTGTAGGCTTTGGAAATGGGTGTGACTTTTAACATTAGAGAAAATGCAGTGAAGAAGGGGGTTGAGAAAAAGGATTGGGAACCTTGAGGAGATAAAAGGATTGAAATACAGGTGCATGTTTGTAATCCTAGCTACTTGAAAGTCTGAGTGTGGTAGTGTAATGGCTTGAGACCAGACAAGGCTGAAAAGTTTGAGAGACAATGTTTCAACTAAGCTGTATGCAGTGGCACATGCTTACTATCTTTTTGTTGTTGCTGTTGTTTTTGTTGTTTGTGGGGCTTGAACTCAGGGTCTGGGCACTGTCCCTAGCTCTTTTTCTTTTTTTTTTTTGTTTGGTCATAAGTCTTGAACTCTGGGTCTGGGCACTGTCCTGCACTCTTCAGCTCAAGGCGAGTGCTTTACTGTTTGAGCCACAACGCCACTTCTGGTTTTCTAGTAGTTTATTAGAGATAAGAGTCTCATGGACTTTTCTGCTGGGCTGGCTTTTGAACTGTGATCCTCAGATCTCAGCCTCTTGTGTAGCTAGGATTACAGGTGTGAGCCACCGCTCCCGGCCCTAGTTCTTTTCATTTAGGCTATTGCTCTACCATTTTGAACCACCACCTACTTTTGGTTTTCTGGTGCTTAATTAGAGATGAGTCTCATAGACTCTAACCTTGGCTGGCTTTGAACCATGATCCTTACATTTCAGCCTTCTGGTTATCTGGGATTACAGGTATGAGCCATTGGGGCCCAGCTTCCTTTTATTTTTTTAATGAGAGAAAAGACAAATTATAAAACTCAGGATTTAAAATATTAACACAAATTCTGTACTTTTGGAAGTGTCAATTTTTCAATATAGACTATTATTCTTTGTTGATAGCCCCTAAGGTTATACTAAGAATTAGAGTTGGCTATTCTAGTCTACTGCAAGCTTTCAGTTGTGTTGATCTTTTTTTTTTTTTTTTCGGTCCGGTTGTGGGGCCTGAACTCTGGGCCTGGGCGCTGTCCCTCAGCTCATCAGCTCAAGGCTAGCACTCTACCACTTGAGCCACACTGCCACTTCCGGCTTTTTTCTTTTTGCTTATGTGGTGCTGAGGAATCGAACCCAGGGCCTCATGCATGCAAGGCAAGCGCTCTACCACTGAGCCACCTTCCCAGCCCCTGTGTTGATCATTTCTTAACTATCTCATATCGTTATCCCCTTAAAAAAAGGCAGGAAGGATTTAGAGCAGTAAAATTGAACTCTTCTTATGTTAGATTCTAATAAGGAGGTTTTATTTCAGGTCTTTGTAGGTAAAATACCAAGAGATTTGTATGAGGATGAGTTGGTACCCCTTTTTGAGAAGGCTGGTCCCATTTGGGATTTACGACTCATGATGGATCCACTGTCTGGGCAGAACAGAGGATATGCATTCATCACCTTCTGTGGCAAGGAAGCTGCCCAGGAAGCTGTTAAACTGGTACGTGAGCAACAAATGTCCACTCTCCAGAAAATTACTGTTTGAGAGAATATTCCTCAGTTTAAAAGTATTTACAGTTAACACTGTTGCTTTGAAATGTTTATGTATTGACTGTGTATGTAATCTTTTATTTTTTTCTATGAAAGTTAAAATAAAAAAGACAAAACCACAAGAAATACTTACATTAGGGGCTGGGAAGGTGGCTCAGTGGTAGAGCACTTGCCTGGCATGCATGAGGCCCTGGGTTGGATTCCTCAGCACCACATGAGCAAAAAGAAAAATGCTGGAAGTGGCGCTGTGGCTCAAGTAGTAGAATGCTAGCCTTGAGCTGAAGAGCTGAGGGACAGCACCCAAGCCCAGAGTTCAGGCCTCACAGCCAAAAAAGAAAAGAAAAGAAATACTTACATTAAGTCTTCATAATTCTAAAAACTTATCTAATAGATTGATTGGTATCAAAAGATTCATTAAAGTATTTGGCATTGGCAGTTTTTGCTTTGGTTCCATTTAGACAAAAGTAATGTCATTTCTTTCAGTTAAACTACCGTGAAGGTGAGATGGGCTCTGAGAACATAACTAGATAACAACTGTCTGGACTCAGCTCAGGACATGGTTGTGAATTTGTTTTATTTTTGTCACAACCTAATTGTAGGGTGTGTTTTTATTCTTTCTATTTCCACGCTGTTCTTATTTCCCCCCCCCCCCCCACCCCCCCCTTGGGGCTTGAACTCTGGGTTTGGGTTCTGTCCCTGTGCTCTTTAGCTCAAGGCGAGCACTCTACTGCTTAAACCACAGCACCACTTCCGGTTTTCTTGTAGTTGATTGTAGATAAGAGTCTCATGGACTTTACTGCCTGTGCTGACTTTGAACTGTGACCCTCAGATCTTAGCTCCTGAGTAGCTGGGATTACGCCAGTGGCACCCAGCTCCTCTTTCTTTTCTTTTCTTTTCTTTTTTTTTGGGGTCCAGTCGTGGGGCCTGAACTCTGGGCCTGGGCGCTGTCCCTCAGCTCTTCAGCTCAAGGCTAGCGCTCTACCACTTGAGCCACAGTGCCACTTCTGGCTTTTTTCTTTTTGCTTGTGCAGTGCTGAGGAATCGAACCCAGGGCCTCAGGCATGCAAGGCAAGCGTTCTACCACTGAACCACCTTCCCAGCCCCAGCTCCTCTTTCTTACTCTTTAGTGACCCAGTCCTCCAACAATTCTTTTCTCTTTTTTAAGTTTTTTTTGGGTCTGGTCGTGGGGCCTGAACTCTTGGCCTGGGCGCTGTCCCTCAGCTCTTCAGCTCAAAACTGGTACTCTACCACTTGAGCCACAGCGCCACTTCTGGTCTTTTCTGCTTATGTGGTGCTGAGGAATCGAACCCAAAGCCTCATCATGCAAGGCAAGCACTCTACCGCTGAGCCACCTTCCCAGCCCCTAAAAACTTTTTTATATCTATAAAATTTTGATAGATTGAAAGTTGTTTTTTCTTTTAAATATAGTTAAACATAGTTGTCATTCTCTCTCTCTCTCTCTCTCTCTCTCTTTTTTTTTGTACTAGTCCTGGGGCCTGAACTCAGTGCCTAGGTGCTGTCCCTGAGGTTCTTTTTCTCAAGGCTAGCTTTGTACCACTTGAACTAGAGTGCTACTTCTGGCTTTTTTCTGAGTAGTTTATTAGCAATAAGAGTCTCTTGGACTTTCCTACCCAGACTGACTTTGAACAGATTCCTCAGAATCTCAGCTTTTTGAGTAGCAAGGATTACAGGTGTGAGCCACCAACACCCAGCTGTTGTCATTGTTTATGTATTCTTTGTATATTGTTCATACTGAGGACCCTGAATAATCAGTCTTGGCTATCTTTAAAACAATTCTTTGGGGGCTAGGAAGGTGGCTCAGTGGTACAGTGCTTGCCTCACATGCATGAGGCCCTGGGTTTGATGCCTCAGCACCACATAAACAGAAAAAGCCACAAATGGTGCTGTGGCTTAAGTGGTAGAGTACTAGCCTTGAGCTGAAGAGCTGAGGGACAGTGCCCAGGCTGAGTTTAGGCCCCACAACCAACAAAAAAACAAAACAAATAAAATAATTCTCTTATAGGTTAAATAAGATATTGAAATAAAATATTTGAAATAAGATATTCTAATATATTGTAAAGTTGAAAAACTGAATCATTTTTATATGGAGGAGCAGTAAATGTTAACAAAAACAAAGAAGAGACTGTAACAGTGAGGTTAAAACTATACATTTGTATTATGGCAAGCATGAGAGAACTTAGTTCAGCAAGTAGTTAGCCTTAAAACTATGGAATTTTTTAGACTAAGATCAATTGTCCTCAGATTGGGGGGGCTTGGGGGTCTCTGGTTCTTTTCTTCTTTACAGTGTGACAGCTATGAAATTCGCCCTGGTAAACACCTTGGAGTATGCATTTCTGTGGCAAACAACAGACTTTTCGTTGGATCCATTCCAAAGAATAAGACTAAAGAAAACATCCTGGAAGAATTCAGTAAAGTCACAGGTAAAACAAAAATGTATTTAGAAATTAGTTTTGGAAAATTTGTTATTTGTAAATAATTTATGAATGTTTAAAAAAGAGATATTAGTTAAACTAAAAGACTCGATGTTTGCTTTCTTTATGATGTCTTGGACTTAGCCACCTCCCTTCTTGATTTTATGGAATTTTTCCTTCTTTGTTGGTATCTCTTTGTTCAACAGTCCTTGGGAAGGCTTTCCCCCTCATATCCACTCTACTTTATATCAAGATGATAGTTCCTCCTTTCTACCTATTGACTTGTCTGCATAATTTTTTTTTTTTTGGTCGGTTGTGGGGCTTGAACTCTGAACCTGGGCACTGTTCCTGAGCTCTTCAGCTCAAGGTGAGCACTCTACCACTTGAGCCACAGTGCCACTTCCGGTTTTCTGGTGGTTAATAAGAGTCTCACAGATTTTCTTGCTCAGGCTGGCTTTGAACTGCATTCTTCAGATTTCAGCCTCCTGAGTAGCTAGAATTATAAGTGTGAGCCACCGGCACCCAGATAGATAACTTTTTATATTATAAATCCATGGAATTAATTTTATATTGTAGGTCTTTGTACTTTAATATATAACAAGCAATTTAATAAAACCTTAACCTTATTTTCATTTATTTATTTATTTTTTGTCAGTCATGGGGCTTGAATTCTGGGCCTGGGCGCTGTCCCTCAGCTCTTCAGCTCAAGGCTAGTGCTCTACCACTTGAGCTACAGCACCACTTCCCCTTATTTTCATTTATTACACACTACTTTGTTTCCCATTGTTTTTTTTTTCTTTTTTGTTGTTGTTGTTGTTGCTTTTTCTGTTGCTTGTCCTGGGGCTTGAACTCAGGTCCTGAGTATTTTTGTCAAGGCTAGCGCTCTGTTACTTGAGTCACAGCTCTACTTGTAGCTTTTTGGTGATTAATTGGAGATAAGCATCTTATGGACTTTCCTGCCTTGGTTGGTTTTGAATTGTGATCCTTACATCTCAGCCTTCTGAATAGCTGGGATTATAGGTATGAGCCACCAGCACCCAACTTCAATTTTCAAATAGTGATTGATATTAACTAATCTTATGAGTGAAGTGAAAAACAGTTTTAGACACTGCCTCTCCATATTAAAAACAACATTTCTTTCTTTACCTTTTTGTCATCTAGACATACTATCCTCTCTCTTTCTTTGAAACTGTCATCTGTTGTTCTTGTTTCAGCCTTTCTTTAATCTGAAGATATCTTCAGGTTCACATTCTTGCTCAATTGATACTCTTAGTACTGTGAACATCTCTGTGTACTGTTCTAAACTCAGCTTCTACGATAGCTCATCTTCCGTTCATTGCTTCAGCTAGATCAGGTCAGCAGAAATTGTACCTACTCTCAAATCTTGGCTTCTGATGACTTTATAGCTACTATACCCTGTGGTGTTGAGTCAGTTGCCCATTCTAGCAGTTCTCTGATTCATCATTTTTTATTGTTTACCAGCTTTTTTCTGGCATGTGTACATGTACACATGCAGGTATTTATTCAGGTGTCTTTTAAAAATGGCATCATGCTATGAATTGTGAATAAGATAGCCTTTCTCTACCTTCATAGAGCCTAAATTCTGGTAAAGGAATTCAGACCAATTAAAAAAATATATATATTGTGGTAAAAAAAAAAAAAACTCTGAAAGGGGAAATAAAAATATTATACCTGTTTCTGGGCTGGGAAGGTAGCTCAGCGGTAGAGTGCTTGCCTCACGTGCATGAGGCTCTGGGTTCAGTTCCTCAGCACCACATAAACAGAAAAGGCTGGAAGTGACACTGTGGCTCAAATGGTACAGTGCTAGCCTTGAGCTGAAGAGTTGAGAGGGATAGCATCCAGGCACATATATATGTGTGTATATATACATATACATACATACATATATGTGTATATATACACACACATATATATTATGTGTGTGTGTGTGTGTGTGTGTGTGTGTGTGTGTGTGTATAAAATCCCTGTTTCTGTCCACGGTTGAAAAGACTGTTCTGATAGATGACTTTTTTTTTTGGTCAGTCTTGGGGCTTGAAATCAGGGCCTGAGTACCATCTCTGAATTTCATTTGCTCAAGGCTAGCACTGTACCAACTTGAGCCATAGCACCATTTCTGGCTTTCTCTGTTTATGAGATAATGAGGGATCGAACCCAGGGCTTCATGCATGCTAGGCAAGCACTCTACCACTAAGCCACATTCCCAGCCCAATGTGACATTTTAAGAGGTGAAGGATAAGGTGGATATAACATACAAAGAGCAAAGCAAGTGTATTCCAAGGCAAGTCTCCAAGGCAAGAAAGAACTTGATATATTAAAGAAACTGAGAACAGGCCAGTGTTAGAAGATACAGTTGGGAATATACTTTATTTATTTTTATTTGCCAGTCCTGGGGCTTGAACTCAGGGTCTGGGCACTGTCCCTGAGCTTCTTTGGCTTGTAAGGTTTTTGATGGTGCTTTCATAAATTTTGAAATCATGTAATAGCAAACTCTGTAAAAACATTGTAGAATGTAAAATATCTTAATTGTCTACAAGGTAATTAGTACTTCATTTTGAAGATTCTTCTATCTTATACTCATTGGCAAGTGGATTTAGATCTGCCTAATCACTGAATGTGTGGTGGATGCTTTTGGCTTATATATCTGGCTGTTGGTTTAACAGAGGGTTTGGTGGACGTTATTCTCTATCATCAACCCGATGACAAAAAGAAGAATCGGGGATTCTGCTTCCTTGAATATGAAGATCACAAGTCAGCAGCACAAGCCAGACGCCGGTTGATGAGTGGAAAAGTAAAAGTATGGGGAAATGTAGTTACAGTTGAATGGGCTGACCCTGTGGAAGAACCAGATCCAGAAGTCATGGCTAAGGTAAATGCAGTTGTTTGGGTAGGGGTAGGTTACCTGTCATTTCAATTTTGTACTCAGAACAAATTTCAAGCCAGATGCTGTTAGCTCACACCTGTAATCCTAGCTACCAGGAGGTTGAGATCTGAGAACTGTGGTTCAAAGCCAACCTGGGCAGGAAAGTCCATGAGACTCTTTTTATCTCCAACTACCTACCAAAAATTTGGAAGTAGAGCTGTGGCAGAGTGGTAGAGTGCTTGCCTTAAGCTCAAAAGTTCAAGGACAGTAACCCCAGAGTTAAAGCCCCAGGACTGGCAACAAAAAGAACAAAAGAAAAGGATGAGCTGGCTCTTTCTTAGCTACTCAGAAGGCTGAGATCTGAGGATTGCAATTCAAAGCCAGCCAGGGCAGGAAGGTCCTTGAGACACTTATCTCCTATTAACTGCTTAGTCTGGGCGGGAAAGTTCTTGTGTTAACCGTCTAAAAATCAGAAATGGAGCAGTGGCTTAAAGTGGTAGAGTGCTAACCTTGAGCAAAAAAGCTCAGGTTCAAGTTCCATGATAAATACAAATTGTAGTTCTTGACTATATTTCCTTAGACAAGGAACTGACTTAACATGGAAAGAAATAACCTGTCTTGATGTGCAGGAATTTTCACTACCCATCTTTTCCTAAAAATTAAATGTAAAGGAACTAAACTTAAATTGTTTTACTTAAGTATTTCATGAACATATCTAGTGGTAGGTACCCATAGGGATCCCGAGGTTTCTCCCTCCCTCTCTCCCTCTGCCCCATCTCCCCCTCTCTCTTTTTTCCCTTCTCTTTCTCCCCGCCTCCCTCTCCCCCCTCCCTTCCTCCAGGCCCCCACCCCCTTCCCTCTCCTTCCCACCCTCCCTCTCTTCCTCCCTCTTCCCTCTCCCCCTATTTCCTTCTTTTTAAGACAGGATCTTACTATGTAGCCCAGGTTAGCTTCAGACTTGGTAGTTCTCTTGGCTTAGCTGCCCAAGTGCTTGGATTTCAATGTTGCAGTTCATTGAAAATTCTTCGCCAAGTTGGGGGTAGTTTTATAGTTTTATAGTCATTCAAAACTTAAGGGGAGGAAGTGGCACTGTGGCTCAAGTGGTAGAGCTCTATCTTTGAGCTGAAGAGCTGAGGGACAGCGCTCAGGCCCAGAGTTCAAGCCCCACGACCGACCAAAAAAAAAAGAAAAAGAAAGAAAAAAAGAAATAAAAACCTAAGGGGCTTTGGAGATTTAGCTCAGTGGAAGAGCACTTCCCTGGCAAGTACAAGGCCCCGAATTAGGTCCTCAGCTCTGGAAAAACAAAAAAACCCTAACAACCTAAGGACTTAAATGTATCTTTTCTTTGTATTTTTCTTTTTTTCCTTTTTGTTGTGCTACAATTGGAAATCAGGCTTCATTGTTAGGCAAATGCTTGAACTATACCTTCAATTCTCTCTTAAGTGTATCTTAATTAAAGAGATTCTTTGCTATTGAACATTTTGTTTGCATTGGTGCTTTATCACTTGAACTATGCCCCCCACTTTAGTTACTTTTCAAATAGGGTCTCCAGTTCATGTCTGAGCTAGTCTAGACCACAATCCTATTTACATAGTCTGAGGTAGCTGGCCTGGACCACCCAACCACATCAACCTTTTTGCCCTGGCTGGCTTCAAATTCTGATCCTCCCAGTCTCAGCCTTCCATGTAGCTAGGATTACAAGTTTGAACCACTATGCTAAGCTTAAATTTTTTGATTTTTTTTTTTTTTTTGTAGTGCTGGGGATCAAAACTCAGAGTCTTCCAGATACTAGGCAAGTACTGTACCACTGAGCTGCATCCCCAATCCTCTACTGAACTTTTTTTTTTTTCTATTTTTTTTTGTTGTTAGTCATGGGGCTTGAATTCTGGGCTGGGCGCTGCCCCTGAGCTCTTTTGCTCAAAGCTAGTGCTCTACCACTTCAGGCTGCAGCGCTATTTCCAGTTTTCTGCAGGTTAATTGGAGAGAAGAGTCTCATGAACTTTTCCTGCCCAGGCTGGCTTTGAATTGTGATCCTCAGATCTTCACCTCTTGAGTAGCTAGAATTACAGGCATGAGTCTCCAGCACCTGGCTTGAACTTTTTCTTTTCTTCGGAATATACTATTAGGAATAGTCCTATATTCCCCTCTGTAGGAGGTCTTTCTTACTGTTGACAAATAGCATATGATCAAACTTCTGTCTTCTGCCAGTTTGTTAATAAATGCTATCTCAGTGCTTTTATGGTTAGCTTTTCACTATGTATGTATTTTTTTCTTATTTCTGTGAAAAGTCATAGGGCTTTAACTCAGGGTTCCTTGAGTTATTTTGCTCAAGGCTACTGTCTAGCACTTGAGCCACAGCTCCACTTGGTGGTTAATTGGAGATAAAGATCTCATGAACCAGGCTGACTTAGAATTGCAGTTCTCAGGTCTCAGCCTCCTCAGTGGCTAGGATTAAAGGGGTGAGCCACTGGCACCCAGCCATTTTAATATTTAATATGTTTGAAGAACCATATGCATTTCTTTGTATGTACCATGTATTCATAAATACCACCTACTTTTCTATTCATTTATTGAACTTTTTCTTATTTATGGTACTCTGATGCAAAAAAGTATTTCTTTTGTATTGTAAGTTGCAAATATTTTTTCATATTTGTGATTTGACTGCTTGTGTTTTTTTGCCATTTGGAAGCTGATTTCAGTAGTTGAATGTATCACTCATGATTTTTTACAGTTTTTAGAATTTAAGTCATAAGGCTATTCGATTCCAACTTATATAAAAGGATGACCCTTTTTTTTTTTTGCCGGTCATGGGGCCTGAACTCTGGGCCTGGGCACTGTCCCTCAGCTCTTCAGCTCAAGGCTAGTGCTCTACCACTGGAGCCACAGCGCCACTTCCGGCTTTTTCTGTTTATGTGGTGCTGAGGAATCGAACCCAGGGCCTCATGCTTGCAAGGCATGCACTCTACCGCTGAGCTACCTTCCCAGCCCTGTTCTAATATTTTCATAATTTCCTCACTTATTCAAAATTTTGATCTATTTGACCAAGTTTATCTTGATATATATTGTGAACTCTGAACCAACTTTCATTTTTTTCCTCAGTGGTGCTACAATTCAATGATTTTATGTTTTACAATTACTTATATCTAGTAGGATTAGTCTCTAGATTTTCTCTCCCCTGATAGTTTTACAATTATTTATTATTATTATTATTATTGCCAGTCCTGGGGCTTGATGAACTCGAGGCCTGGATACTTTCCCTGAGCTTCTTTATGCTCAAGGCTAGCTCTCTCCCACTTGAGCCACAGTGACACCAGAAGCCTTTTCTGTTTATGTGGTACTGAGGAATCAAACCCAGGGCTTCATGCATGCTAGGCAAGCCCTCTACCACTAAGCCACATTCCCAGTCTTAGATTATTTTTTCATATGTATTCTGGAAAGTTATAGTAGGGACAAATAAACCCTTGTCTGAGGGTGAACCTAGGGATTATGTTAAATTTGTGAATTAACTTAGTAATAATATATATTGGTTCCTTGAATATTGTATGTAATATTAAGTGTTTTAGTGATGAATAAAGAATTTAGGAACCAACCATTTATATAAACTTAAAAATATATTGGTAAACAAATATTAGAATTGCTTTCTTGACAGTCTTGTACTTTCTGTGAAAGCACTTTTAGCACTCTGCTTTAGAAAAGAAAAGCCTATATGCCATGAAGACAGGAAGAAATATTTTTTAAGACTTCAGCTAAAATTAAGTAGCCAATGCCAATTTTGTATATTTGTTGCTATTAGGTGAAAGTTTTATTTGTGAGAAACTTGGCTACTACAGTGACAGAAGAAATATTGGAAAAATCATTTTCTGAATTTGGAAAACTTGAAAGAGTAAAGAAGTTGAAAGATTATGCATTTGTCCATTTTGAAGACAGAGGAGCCGCTGTTAAGGTAGAAGTTGTGAGATTTTTCTTGTTATTTTACTTTTGTTGTTGAAACTATAAACACGCAAGTGACTTTAAAAACAAAATCGATTTTTAACTTTTTTGTTGTATGGTGCTAAGGATGGAATTTAGGGCCTCACTTAAACCAGACAAGCATTCTACCCCTGAGGTACACCTGACACCTGGGTTTTAGCTGTGAAACTTTCTCTTAACCATGTTTATAAAGTGGTAGTATAATACAGGTAAGATTCCAGAGACAGATTATTACTGAGTTTGTGATCTCAGTTAAAGTCTTCGTTGTTTTTGTAACCCTAAGGTTGTGATAACACGATGCCTTGGAAGTATTACATGATAATATAATTAGCTACTATAAATGCTAAACAGGAACAAATATTTTATTCCTACTATGTTTACCTGAGTACTGTGGACCTGTGAAAGTGACTTGCCATACAGTATCGCATTTTTTTTTGTGTGGGGAGGGGTCCCGTCATTGGTCCTGAACTCTGGGCCTGGGTGCTGTCCCTCAGCTCTTCAGCTCAAGGCTAGCGCTCTACCACTTGAGCCACAGCGCAACGTCCGGCTTTTTTTTTTTCTTTTTGCTTATGTGGTGCTGAGGAATCGAACCCAGGGCCTCAGGCATGCAAGGCAAATGTTCTACCACTGAGCCACCTTCCCAGCCCACAGTATAGCATTTAATTCAGTACTAAGGAAAGAGTTCCTTACAATTTTACCTTTAGCCATTATATTTCTAGTAATTTTAGAGTTAGAATAATATTGATTGTTTTGCTGGTTTCAGTAATTATTAAGAGATATTTCTTGTTTGTCATAGTTGACTTATTCCTTGGTGATAGTAATGAAAAATGGTAAAAAGTATCTTACAGAGTGTCTGGAATATAAACCTAAATATGCTGCTAGTTATTATGCTGTTAATAATTAATTAGCACCATCTTTTTTTTTTTTTTTTTTTTTTTTTTATTTTATTTTATTTTTTATTTTTTTTTTGTTTTGTTTTTGGGTCCGGTTGTGGGGCCTGAACTCTTGGCCTGAGCGCTGAGGAGCTCTTCAGCTCAAGGCTAGTACTCTATCACTTGAGCCACAGCCCCACTTCCGGCTTTTTCCTTTTTGCTTATGTGGTGCTGAGGAATCGAACCCAGGGCCTCACGCATGCAAGGCAAACGCTCTACCACTGAGCCACCTTCCCAGCCCAATTAGCACCATCTTTAAAGGGTGAACTTTCCAGCTTCTTATTTCTGCCTTCTTGGGGTATCTGGAATATAAACCTAAATTATGCTGCTGCTTATTAAGCTGTTAATAATAGATCAGCACCATCTTTCAAGGGTAAACTTGCCAGTTTTCTTCTTTCTGCCTTCTTCCCTGGAGGAGAGTATGATCAAGACAGAATGCTTAAGCCTGCTTTATGTAATTAGGAAGGTGGATCCAAAATGCTAGTTTGGTTGTTTTTCTACATGTTCTATTGGTAGTGTATTGCCACTTCTAATTTGAGCATTTTTTCCCCCTGCCAGGCTACTTACTGCTTTAAAACGAGTCTAGTGTAGGGTTTTTCATTTGTTTTTGTGGTGCTGGGGATCAAATCCAGAGCCTCCAGCATAGTAGGTAAGCGCTTTTATCACTAAGCTACAACCCAAGTCCCAGTGTAGACTGATTTGCTTCCTCGTGGGATCTAATGAGGAAATACAAGATTTATAACTTGTTATATAATCTAATTTTATTTTGTTTGGCTTCTGAAATTTTCAGTGGTATAGACCAATTAATAAATACATATAATACTTTCTATATATTCTTTTTTATTCTGTTGTTATTGAATAATTTAATAATTCAGTAGAAGATTATTTATAGTAACTGGTAGCATAATTTGCCAAAGAAGCTTACCAAACAGATTTTCTAGTCCAGAACTTGAGAGTTACTCTCTAGGATTGTCTGGGCACATTATTCATATTCCATTCTTTTGCTTGTAGCATAAAATCCTTGTGTTTGTGTGTGTGTGTGTGTGTGTTCACGCACGCGTGCGTGCGCGCCTGTGCATGTGCGCATCCTAATCCTGGGGCTTGAACTCAGGACCTGTGCATTGTCCCTGAGCTTCTTTGGCTTAAGGCTCTACTCCTTGAGCCACAGCGCCACTTTTGGTTTTCTGGTGGTTAATTAGAGATAAAAGTCTCACAGACTTCTTGCTTGGGCTGGCTTTAAACTACAGTTGACTGATCTTAGCCTCTGAGTATCTATAGGATTACAGGTCTGAGCCACCAGTGCCCGGCAAGGCAGGTATTTTACTTTTTAAAATGTAATAGGAAGATATCAACTTGGTTCTCAATGTAATTTTTATATGTAAAAATCAAGGTAGAAAGGAAGGAATACTTTTTTAATTAAAATTTTTTTTTATTTGAAGAACTTTTTTAAGAAAAAACCTTTTGGCTAGATTAATTTTATAAATCAATTGTAAAATCATTTACTAAGTATTAAATAATGACATATTTCTAAATTTTCTTATAAAATCATTTTTTTCTAATTTTGTATAGGCTATGGATGAGATGAATGGAAAAGAAATAGAAGGGGAAGAAATTGAAATAGTGTTAGCTAAGCCACCAGACAAGAAAAGGAAAGAGCGCCAAGCTGCTCGACAGGCTTCCAGAAATACTGCGTGAGTGTATATTTTAGTAGATTTGTCTTTGAATGAAGTATACTTGATAGTAGAGATCACATTAATAAACAAAGTCAGGATGAGTCTAAGAGTCTTGAAACAAGCTAATTTTTTTTTCTTTTCTCTCTTCTCCCTTTCTTCCTGTGTTAGGTATGAAGATTATTACTATCATCCTCCTCCTCGAATGCCTCCTCCAATGAGAGGTCGAGGTCGTGGTGGAGGGAGAGGTGGATATGGCTACCCTCCAGATTACTATGGCTATGAAGATTATTATGATGATTACTATGGTTATGATTATCACGACTATCGTGGAGGCTATGAAGATCCCTACTACGGCTATGATGATGGCTATGCAGTAAGAGGAAGAGGAGGAGGAAGGGGAGGGCGAGGTGCTCCACCACCACCGAGGGGGCGGGGAGCACCACCTCCAAGAGGTAGAGCTGGCTATTCACAAAGGGGGGCACCTTTGGGACCACCAAGAGGTTCTAGGGGTGGCAGAGGGGGTCCTGCACAACAGCAGAGAGGTCGTGGTTCCCGTGGAGCTCGGGGAAATCGTGGGGGTAATGTAGGAGGCAAGAGAAAGGCAGATGGGTACAACCAGCCTGATTCCAAGCGTCGACAGACCAACAACCAACAGAACTGGGGTTCCCAGCCCATCGCTCAGCAGCCGCTTCAGCAAGGTGGTGACTATTCTGGTAACTATGGTTACAATAATGACAACCAGGAATTTTATCAGGATACTTATGGGCAACAGTGGAAATAGACAAGTGAGGGCTTGAAAATGATACTGGCAAGATACGATTGGCTCTAGATCTACATTCTTCAAAAACAAAATTGGCCTAACTGTTTCATCTTTAAGTAGCAATTTGCTGCCATTTGTATTGAGCAGAAGAAATCACTATTGTGTATATACTCAAGTCTTTTTATTTTTCTTCTTTTCAAAGATGCTCTTGGACATTATTGGGCTTGCAGAGTTCCCTTATTCTGGGGATTACAATGCTTTTATCGTTTCAGGCTTCATTTTAGCTTCAGCAAAAGCTGTTAAATCATGATTTTGCAGAAACCTTTGGTTTGGACAGTTTCCTTTTTTTTTTTTTGGATTTGGGATAGATTACATAGGAGTATGAAGTATGCTGTAAATAAAAATACAAGCTAGTGCTTTGTCTTAGTAGTTTTAAGAAATTAAAGCAAACAAATTTAAGTTTTCTTGTATTGAAAATAACCTATGATTGTATGTTTTGCATTCCTAGAAGTAGGTTAACTGTGTTTTTAAATTGTTATAACTTCACACCTTTTTGAAATCTGCCCTACAAAATTTGTTTGGCTTAAACGTCAAAGCCGTGACAATTTGTTCTTTGATGTGATTGTATTTCCAATTTCTTGTTCATGTAAGATTTCAATAAAACTCAAAAATCTATTCAAAACATTACCTATTTCAAATTCAATTGTGTCCTAAAACATTATTTTATTCGTAATATTTGCAAGGAATATTGTTTTCAAAGTATAACTGCCTATGTGAGTGATCAAATTCATGCAAAATTTCTTGTCTTTTCCAAGATGTATCGTGGATATCAGATTGAGGATTAGCCTAAATTCAAGTATTTATTCGAAATAGCATTTCATTGATTGGTGTTCTCTTACAATCTCTTCTAATTTTGAAATTTTATCCTTTTATTTTTATAAAAAAATTTTCAGAGGTTTTTGAACATTTTTGCAGGCATTGGATAATTTGCATTAAAACAAATAAAATGGGACTGGGGAAGCAGACTGCAATTTAATTTGACCCACATTCTTTCTATCAAGGATATCTTGTGGCTGAAGACCTTATTGCTGTAAGTGAAAGTACACAGAGGAGACTGTTAGTACTGTGACATCCTTTGCACTGTGCATTAAACTCCAGTTTTAGTATACACGATGGTCACTGGTCACTGCCATTTCAGTTACTAGTGCTAGTAAATTTGCTTTGGGAAACAGTCATGCCTTGTCAGAGAGGCTTTTAAAGATCTGGTAGCTATACCTTTAACCTTCTGTTACTACCTCTTTTATTTACAACGTCTAATGGCTATTTTTGTTGGCCACATAGTACCCTCTATTTCCTTGTTTCCTCTGGAAATTCTGATGTAGTTTGTGAGTGAGGTGAACAGAAGAATATAAATTTTACAGTGCTAAACATTCACTCTACCACTGAGCTATACCTTCAACTACCCTTCTAGTTATATAAGCCAATGGGAAATATTTAAAATGGACACACCATTATTTTATGTTTTGTTCCTGTTTGGTGTCTTTTGTGATAGCAGTATTAAATTTCAAAATCATGACTCACTTAATTATTCGTGAGCTTGTTTAGATCATATTTTGGGCTTCATGACTTCTACTTTGAATTTAAAAAATTAACATTTGCTGATGATAACCAATGTATCTCATTTCTTTTTCAAAGTTCACTCATGGCACAGCATAGTAATTTAACAAGTCTTATTAATAGTCCTCTTATATTTTGGAAACTGATAAAGGAATTTTGTGGGCTATTACAGCTGCAAGTTAGCATGGGTGTTTGGTAAGGTTTAGAGTCACTTATTTTTATTACACCCATGTGTGCAAATTGATACCAAATATTCTTTAAATGCTACTTAAACTTTAACAATACAAATGAAATTACAAGTCTAAATTAGAACTGAATAAATTATTGATTTTTCTTGGAAAGAACAAAATCTACAAGTAAAACTTGAGTTGCTTATATTTTTGTTTCATAAGCTTAGAAAATCATCACAAAAACTAGAAATGGAATAGAAATGAAGAAGTAGTTTATTGGTTCTTCTGTGCCTACCATAAAACAAAAACCCTAGCACCTCCTCAAAAAAAAGAAACCATCAAAATTTGTATTCCATATAAAATTCTTTCATTGCAAATTATATTTTGAATTTAAGAATAGCCATCTCTCCTCTGTCCTGCTCACTAATTAAAAATGTATCTGCAGAGGTTCCTTCTAATATTTGCTGTGTTTTTATTATTTATTGAAAAAGCATAACCTATAAATATTAAATTTCACTTCAGAGCTTTTCTTTTTTGATACCTTATAAATTATCACCTGTAGTAACATTCAGAGAAAATAAATTTGGAGCTCAACTTTTCACAGAAGTAACAACTCCACAAATCTGGAAAGTGTCAGTTGAGGGAAATCTTCTAGATACTCATTTAGGGATTTTGTTGTTGCTGTTTGTTTTTTGTTTTTGTTTTTGTTTTTTTTTGGTTGCGTGTGTGTGTGTGTGTGTGTCTTTTTAATATAGGCTTAAAATTGAGCTCTGAGGAATTTGGCTTTCTGTTCTGCCTTTCTATCTTTTTCCCCCAAAACCTGATTGTTAATTATAAGCCTGTCACACTACAGTGTGTGTTAGGAAGTAATACCTATACTGAGTAGACCTCTTTGTAGGTATCCTCCTAAGATTGACAAATACACCTCTTTCCCATAATGGAATGCTAATTTTTATTTGATCACTCATTTATAGCAGTTGTTTAGAAGTATTCTATGAAGGTGTTTTAATTACTTAAAAGCAAAAAAGTCCTAATAAGTTGCCAGATTTCTAATAAATCCAAGTTTATTTGATCAAAATCATAAGAAAAAAATGAGTGCAGTTCTGTAGTTTTTTATTTTTCCAAAGAAAAGGGTTCAGAATAATTGTTTTTAATTTTTCTTAGTTACTGGGGTTATTCTGCAAAAGAAAGCCCAATGCTTTCTGTTAGTAGTAGGTAATTTTTCTTGAAAGAGACTTTAAATTCTGATTTAGGAACTGAATCTTTTTACAGAGATCAACATTCATTAAAATAAGTTAATGTGTTTTAAATTATAGAAGAAAAGGGATATAAAATTACACTACTAGTATAAAGCCTTATAATATTATTGAAATTCATTACATCATTTGCCTCCTGCCCATTTGAATATAATCATACCTATGTTTTATTAATTGTGTATTATTTGTAAAACCAAACCTTTCCAGTGAATACTTACTATAAGGCTATAACTTCTGTTGTGGAGACTTATAAATTTGTTTAACCTTTTTTATTTTCCAAAGATTTCTATACAAAAGCTATCCTAAAAGAAAATCAACTGTAGTTGATATTGTATTGTCTTTTATGTGGTATCATAAATGAGCAACTGAGAAAAAGCCTTATAGAAAGAGTGCACTGGATTTACAAGTGTGTTTATGTTTCTCTTAAGATTGGGAGCTTCTGTTAACTTAGGGACAGAGTTGTTCTGATTGAACCAGTGGATTGGATTACTGACTGGAGAATCCTTGTAGCAAATCCATTAATCAGACATATTTACTTCCACATTAGAAGCTTTCAACCCAGTCTTATTTTTGAAATGCAAATACAAGCTTTAAAATATTACTTAATAAATTGGTTAGAAATTTACTATAAATATTGGAAGTTACAATAATCCTAGATTTTTTTTTCTTTGAAAATACATGCATAAATATTTTTTTAATTTAGAGGTTACCAGAAGCTCTGGTTTTGTTTTGGTTTGGTTTTTAATCATTTTCAGATGTTATCCAGAAATCTGCAAGTATTCTTTTCCTGTTTTAACTCCTTCCTTTTATCACCTGACTATCAGGGAAGCGAGGTTGAGGCTGCCCTGACCTGACATGTCATGATGTCGACTTGCTAGGTGGGGTTCGCTGGGGACGATAACCAGTGGAATTGTTGGTAAGAACTTTTTTTTTCTTATTTATTTTTTTTTTATCAGTAGTGGGGCAATGATTATGGGAGAGTACCCATATTCTATAAGTGGACAATTGTAGAAAAATAAGATTTTAGTATTAAATCTGTTCTTAATAGGAACTTATGAAAAGAAGTTCACTCATTCTCAGATTAGTAGCTGATGACAGGAAAGGCCGGCAAATATTAGGTACTGAAATACTCAAAGAATAATTGAACTTATCAAGATAAGACTCCTTAAAATCTAAAACATTTGTTGGAGAAATAAAGTTGCTTTGTTTTACTGTGATTTCAGTTCCTCTGATTGATATTTATTGTATTTTATTATGTAGCTTGATATATAGTGCATTTTATAAGATATTTATTGCTCACTAATTTTAGGGAAATACTGATTTGAGGGTTTTACATTAAAAGATAATTTATTTTTTAAAATCTTCTAAACATTATAAAATTAAGCTTGAAAGTTCTTGCAGTCTTTCAAAACTATGATATCAATTTAGTTACCTTTGGATCAATAGGAAATTATGTAGTTGAAATTTTAAGACCCTTGAACATGAACAGAAAACCACAGACATGGGGGTCAGGGTGTAGCTTAGTTGTAGGCCTTGTCATTAGCATGCTAGAGCCTCTGGATTCATTCCTCAGCCAAAAAAGAAACATAGGCCTGTTAACTGATAAGACTTGTAGAAATTGGTAGCATTAAGACTTAAAATTTAGGTGATTGCTACAGATTTAAAATCTCTCATCTTTCTGCTGGTGTGGTGTTACTTATCTATAATCCTAGCATTAGGAGGTGGAAGCAGGAGGATCTTGAGTTCAAGGCTAGCTTGAGTTATTTAATAAGGCCCTGTCTCAAAAATCCAGCTCAGTGGTAGAGTATTTGTCTACCATGTACAAAGTCCTAGGTTTGATTCTTAGCACTACCACCACCACCAGTACAAAAACCACCCCTCCTACCCGCCCACACAAATAGGGGCAGATGGCTCACACCTGTAATCCTAGCTACTGAGGAGGCTTAGATCTGAGGATCAGTTTCAAAGCCAGCCTGGAGAGCAAAGTCCATGAGACTTTTCTCCAGTTAAGTACCAGAAAACCAGAAGTGTCTCAGTGGCTGAAAGTGGTAGTGTTGGCTTTGAGCAAAAAAATCTCAGATACAGCACCCAGACCCTGAGTTCAAGTCCCACCACTCACAGAAATTAAAATTAAGAAAAGATTTCACAGTGGTTAAGTGTAAATTGAAAGTAAAAATTAGTAACTAGGCACATACCACATAAAATAATTGTAGTAGGTGCTGGGCATCAATGGCTCACACCAATAATTCTAGCAACTCAGGAGGCTAAGGTCTTGAGGATCGTGATTTGAAGGCAGCTCAGACAGGAAAATCCATGAGACTCCAATTAACTGCCAAAAAGCTGGAAGTAAGCTGTGGCTCAAGTATTAGAGCTCTAGCTTTGAGCACAAAAGCTCAGGGACAGCACACAGGCCCTGAGTTGAAGCCCTAGTAATGGGGAACACATGTACACACACACACACACACACACACACACACACACTAATAGGCTATGATACGGGGGCACGCGTACACACACAGACACCTTCTAATAGGATATGATACTGATTAAAAGTAATGAAAACACCTGTTCTTCATGCCTAAACAACCTCCTCAGTATTCTTACAGAACTTGACCTTCTTTACTGGTTGGAGGTATCAGTGTAGAGTGAATCTTTAGGTGTTACACATGTGCTGGTCAGTATTACAAATATAAATGCTTGTTTCTAAGTTTGCTGTAGACCACTTGTACATCACTAATGGAATTATACTGGAAGAATTACAGCTATTGCAATGTGATATTAAGTTATTTGTTTCTCTTCTGATGTAGTTTATGCATGTGTCAGTGATAGAAAAAAAATCAGTGTATAGAACTTTAAAGATTGCACTAAAGTTAAAGTATGCTCTTTGGGAAATGTGGTAAGTGAAAGAATTTTCAGATACTTCTGATGAATTTGTGTAAGTTAAGTGGAATATAGAGCAAATTTGTTCACTTTACACATTTGCAACAAAATACATTTCAAAATACATTCCAAAATGGAGGAGGCACTGCAAGAAAACTTAAATTGCTCAGATATGAATAAGGGCTCCTACTTTATGTAGCAACTTGTCAGGATCCCATGAACATGTTTATCTTGATTTCTCACATGTGAAGGTTGAGCAGAAGGGATTTCTCTAGCCTGTTCAATAACAGGTAGACTTGTACTTCAATGAGTCTTACTGTGATGTTTAGTAATGTATTGGAAAGCTGTTTCTATAATTGGATTGAAAGCTCCTGCAAACATTAAATTGCTGATATACATACAGTAATATGAAAAAAATCCAAATTGGAATAATTTACAAGACTTTTTCCATTGAATTATCACTTTATGAAAAACCATGCTTTTGGTACAGTGTTCGTGTACCTTAACTGTATTCGAATATTTGTACAATGTTAATATTTTTAATAAAATTTAACATGTTCAAAATGTTGTGTTGGTGATTTTGGATGGGGCGTGATGGATTCAGTTATAAAACAGATTCAATAGTTAAGACATTTGAATGGAGTTCTTTTACTCTAGTGTTATTTCTTAATTAAAGGAAGGTAGTGAAGGAGTGACATAGTAGAATACAAGGACTGGATTCCTGAGGGGTTGTTATTTTGTCAGGAAGTACCTTGTTGGGTTTGGACCTGGGTCTAGAGGTATCAGGTAGGAATGTTGGCTTTTGCATTACAGCTTGCCAGTGCAGTTTTTCTGTGCCAATTGTTGCATAACCATGTTAGAACGGATCCCTACAGAACCCAAGGAGATGGGCAAGTAGAAACACTTTCTTGTACTTTCAGGAGGTTTTTTTTTTTTTATTGTCTTGGGTCTTTAACATGGTGCCACAAGAGGAGAAGTGGTGAGGGGTCTTGAGGAAGGCTGTTGGAGGGCTTGGGTGCATGAGTGGGATGTATCAGCAGTGCACTTGAAAGTGCCGTGTGTGGGGCTCTCGAACACAGCTTTTGTTTTCACATTTATCCCATTCTCTTACAGGTTGCTTAGTACAGTACTTTTTCTGACTTATTTTCCTTGAGATATACTTAGATCTCCACTAGTCAAAAAGGTGGAAGTTCTGCAGCACAAAATGAAAATTGGTGTAGAGTGATGTGCTCATTCCTCTGCATGTTGTGCTTTAGTAACCAACAAGACTTTAGAGGAGGCAATAGGACCTAATGGTCTGTGAGCAAACTGAGTTGTAAGGAGAGTAGTAATATATTCTGCTTTGTTCTTAAGCAAAAATACCTCAACTTGGGCACCTTTAGGTGTCTTCAACCAGAAGAGGGATGGAGGACAAGTGTACTGATTTGTAATATTTTCCAAAAATAAAGGAAGATTGCTTTTGAAAAGTTTTTTAAGCTTAGCCTCTATTGGTACCTGAATGCTGAATTTAATTATTAGTTTGTTTTTTGGGGTTTTCTTTTTTTTGGGTCCGGTCGTGGAGCCTGAACTCTGGGCCTGGGCACTGTCCCTCAGCTCTTCAGCTCAAGGCTAGCGCGCTACCACTTGAGCCACAGCGCCACTTCCGGGTTTTATCTTTTTGCTTATGTGGTGCTGAGGAATCGAACCCAGGGCCTCAGGCATGCAAGGCAAGCGCTCTACCACTGAGCCACCTTCCCAGCCCCTTTGGAGTTTTCTTTTGGCAGGTCCTGGGGCTTGAACTCAGGGTCTGGGTACTGTCCCTGAGCCTCTTTGTGATCAAGGCTAGCACTTTACCACTTGAGCCACAGCACCACTTCTGACTTTTTCTAAGTAGTTTATTGGAGATAAGAGTCTTATGGACTTTTCTGCTCAGGCTAGCTTCAAGCTGTGATCCTCAGATCTCAGCCTCCTTAGTAGCTTACAGACATGAGCCACCTGCACCCGACTGAATTTAGTTCATTTTTACCACTATTATTTCATCCTAAATTTTTTGTATATTAAGCAGAAATTAATACATTTTAAAAGGCCATTTAGAAAAAAATCAGCCACTTGAAAATTTTGTTTTATGTTGATCAAATGTTATAAAAAAAATTGTGTCTTCATTTGAACTTACTGGCTATAGTGGATCTTTTTGGCTTTTATTCAAATGGCTAAATTTGTTTGGTAAAAAGGACTTGTGTGTCCTGACAGATCTCAGTGTAATTACATTTTTTTGTTGTTGTTAAATGGTACCAGTTTATCATTAGCTTGTATTGAAACTTTTTGTTTTATGTATTAATTTTTTGGGGGGTCCTAGAGCCTGAACTCAGAGCTTGGGCACTGTTCCTGAGCTTTTGTATTCAAGGCTAGCACTCATCACTTGAGCCACAGATCCACTTCTGGCATTAGTTATTATTAATCATAATAATAGTGTTTATTATTATAATGGGGCTAAGACTCATGGACTTTTCCTGCCTGGGTTGGCTTCAACCCATGATCCTTGGATCTCAGCCTTCTGAGTAGCTAGGATTATAGATGTGAATGAGCCACTAGAAACCCAGCTATATACTTTCTCTTGAGAAATAAAATCTTAAGTTGGTGCCTATAATCCCAGATACTTGTGAATCAGAGATCAGGAGGATGGTAATTCAAGACCAGCCCAACTAAGTAGTTCAAGACCAGTCCAGGCAAGAAGTTAGGCCAGGCACCGGTGGCTCATGCCTGTAATCCTAGCTACTCAGGAGACTGAAATCTGAGGATCAGGATTCAAAGCCAGCCCAGGCAGGAAAGTCCGTGAGACTCATCTCCAATTAACCACCAGAAAACTGGAAGTGGCACTGTCACTTAAGTGGTAGAGTGCTTGCCTTGAACTGAAGAGTTCAGGGACAGCCCCCAAGTCCAGAGTTCAAGCCCCACAGCTGACAAAAAAAAAAAAGTAAGTACCTTAACTAGTAGTTGAGTGTGGTAGTTTACATAGTATAGTTCAGGCTGGCCTGGGCAAAGATTATAAGACCCTCTGCCCAAAATAACTAAAGGAAAAAGGGCTGAGGGCATATCTCAAGTGATAGACCTGCCTGGTAAGCTTGAGGTCTTCAGCCCCTATTACCACAGTGTGGTGCATACAAGTGATCCCTAAGGAAACAGGCAGAAGGGTCTCAAGCTATAGGCATGTGTGGGATATATAGCAACACCTTCTCTCAAAAAAGAAAATAGTTGGCACTGATGGATCATGCCTGTAATCCTAGCTCTAGCTACTCAGAGATTGAGATCTGAGGGTCGTTGTTCAAAGACAGCCTGGGGAAGAAAGTATGTGAGGCTC